TTCTGCGCCTGCTGCCGCTGAGCTCCTCGTCCAAACACGCGCCCCGAGTAGCATGCTCGTGTACAGTTCCCTTGGTCCGTCTCCTGCTAGAGCCTTCTATAAAACAATACTATACACATCCCCTCTCAGACTAAAACCTCCCACGCTCTCTGTCAGTCATGGGATTTAACACATACAATCCAAAGGCAGTGCCCCAGATTTTAACTCGTTTCGCAATGATGCTTTGGCGTATGGTGACTATCCATGCCGGTTGAATCAAACACTCTACATGCAACCACAAGCACATGCAGCGGTTCCCGCTCAGACTCGCCTGCTTCCCTCCGGTGACGGAGTCTCTGTTCCAGTTTCTTCCGGCGATGTCCTTATCCGAACAGATTCCCGGACCGTCCCACATATTCTATTCACCAACCCTCTTCATCCCCTCCCATCATGATTTTCACATCCCAGCCATAAAATAAAAGCAAAAAACATAAACTACATTTCAGTGACGGCTGTCTCGAGCCTCTCTCGCACATCTCTGACTCTATCTGTTCGAGGACTTTTCGGTCAGTTATCTCCAACACCAGCGCGTCCAGGAAGCCCTCCACCTGTCGCAGCAACTGCTTGCGGGTCATCTCGTTCGTCACTCCATCATTCACCGTCACCGTCATCTTCATATACTTCATCTGAGCGCCCGTCAGGTATGCGGGCAAGGTGTGCCCAGCAAACCTCCCGTCACTCGCCCGTGAGCGGAAGGCCACAGTGCAGTTGTACTCCCGCGCCACGCGGTGCTTCAACGTCAAGCCATGAAAACGCATCTCCATGTGTAACGGAAAGCCCCACTGAAGCATGTCCGGGACTCCACCACGAGACACACGCCTACCTTTCAGAATAGGCTCTTGCCAAGGCTCCAAAAAAAATTCTCTCTTCTGTACATTCTCTCGCTTTCCCGCCATGAGTCCGCGCCAAGACTGCAGAGTTAAGTCGTCCTCTTGGCCCGTTGGTTTCCTTTCCTGTGTACATCTGTCAGGTAAGTTTGCTCTACATCTTTAGACTCTCTCTGTTTTTCCTAGCACGGCTCGTATGCTCTCTGGATGTACCGCTTGCCACGCTTGTGTATGCATGAAAACGTGTATTGCATCGAGTCCAACCGCTGGAGCCGCCATGATTCCACGCATGCTGCTGTTTCCTCTGCGCATCTATCAAATCCAAACTTCATGTCTTTATTTACTTCATGCCTTTCTATACTGTGCCGCACGCGACTCCCCCGGTCCCACACCCCGCAGCCACCTCTTCTCCTCGGAGTATATCTTCTCGCCTCAAGACGCGCGCAAGGCGCTGTCTTCTAATTCAAACACAACTTTCAGAAGCTCTTTGATATGCATCAACACAACAGTCCCGAGAGTACTCTCAGATTGCTCAGCCCTATTATGTTAACATTCACCAGGTGTATATGTTTGTGGTTTATAAAGACGTTGCTGAGCTACATTACGTTCAGCTGAACCAGATGTCTCTCATGTATATACACACGTAAAAGCAAGACTTCAATGCGTTCAACACTTCCTGTTCCAGCCGTCCCCGCGTCCCCTGCGGTGCGTGCGCGGTGTGCTCCGTTGCGCGCGATCACTTCCTACACTACTCTTCTTCAGTGGTGAGGCAGTCCTAAACCACAAATACACACATGATATTTTCATTCCCGCAATCGATACATTGTATAAATCTACGTCTGATCGATTCTTTCACAACTATTCTGCATTGGACGCACGCATTCAGACAGCTGTGTATACTGTCTCACTCTCCAACACACGCCTCGTCCCAATCCTCACCCTGCGGGTGTCCTGCATCCAGTTCGTTTGCGCCTGAGCGCGAGACGCGAGCTGCACGCTGACTGATCCGAGCAACAATAACTTCAGGTGATGTCTGCGCGTGCCCTACATGAGCGCCTACGTCTTGGCACTGCTGGTCCTACACCCATTTCCAAGTAACAGTGTCGATCAGCCTTTTCTCGCCGTCGCTTCCACCGCGTCGCTCACAGTGATCTTGGGACTCCACCACACAGATCACCGCATCCGCCGCGTCGCTCACAGTGATCTTGGGACTCCACCACACAGATCACTGTTGCTCAAAAATTGACAGATGAGCCTACGCCGCGGATGGCTGTCCAATTCTCACGCTAAGGTGAAAGCTGGATGTATCTCGTAGCACACGTGCCCCGCGCTGTCTAGCGGCGCAGTCGCCCGCAGAGTGTCGTACAGCCTCCACTGTTCTCTGTCTACGCAATACAGCTTTCCACTCTCCAGCAGTTCCACTACGCCCGCATAGGTGAGACTCACAGGTCGCAGCACCACCGTGCCCATTTCTATTCCCCAAGCTTCCGCTGCCGAGAGTGCTGCGTGGTCGGCTCGCTTCTTCAGGGCCCAGTAGCGACATCGCTGTCTCCCCACCGGTGGTCGAACTTGTCCCGTCTGCTCAAATTCCACGGCTTGACTCTCACTCAAACCCACGAACAGGCGCAGCGCGGTCCCTCCATGTCCTTGCAGAGATCACCCTCCACAGGCGGGTGTGCTGCGCCGACGGCGATGAGGGTGTCACCAGAACGCTCATGGCCACCCGTGGCGGGGACTCCACCACCTGCCACCTCCCCGTGCGTGGACGTCACCATGTCGGAGACCAAGCCTGCTATCGGGTGCTATCCTGTCTCCTGTAAACAGCTCTGCCAGCACAAAAACACTTCGGATGCTGCTCTCTTGCTCAAAATCATTCTCTAACTCCATTCTTTGTCGTCTTCAACCCGTCTCACATGTGTCTAAATTTGACAGACCCTCTGAGTATTGCAATCTAACTGACACTTGTCTAGAGATATCTATGCATAAAAATAATCTCTTATGTATATACCTTTAGATGTAAGTCAAAGCCACCCGAGGGTTCGCAGAACCTCTATTCTACCGATGACAAGGGGCGGAAGCTCAAACGTATTCTCCAAATTGTTTCAATTCAAACAACATACATCAACGCGTTCTCGCGCTCTTTTTCGATGCGCAGTCGTGCACGACGTCGGCTGCGCGGCACTGTGCCACAAACGGTTGTACGGGGGACACCACCACCACATACCCTGCACATGCCTCTCCTGCTCATGCCGGGGACTTCACCACCTGGCACAAACACTCAAAAACCTTCTCACGCCACGGAGGTCGGGCCGTGCACCGCATAGTACGGATGCCCCTGATCATCTCGTGGAGCCGGCACTCGTAGCGGTGCGTAGAGTCGCCACTGGTCTGCGTCCACGGGATACAAGTGTCCCGACTGCAGCATCCGCAGCAATCCCACGTGCGTCACGGAAATCGGGCGCAAAATGACGTCCCGGCCAGCCATCCCATCATGCCCATCCAGCGCGCTCTGCACCGCGGCCTCCGCGCGGGTCTTCAGTGGAAAATACCACTGTCCCTGCCGTCCTTGCGGACACTCCACCTGACCCATCCGCTCCAGGTGCAAGTCTTGGTCTCTGTTCAGACCCACCCACAACTTCAAGGCCACACCTCCGTGCCCCACGCATTCGCCTCCTGGCGCCTCCGGGTGCACCTGCCCGGCGGGGACTACACCACCTGCCGCCCCGTGTCCAGCGGACATGGCCCGGTCTGTCGCTCGCTCGCGCTCTCGGCACACACTTTCTCACAAGCCAAAATGCTCTGTGGTATTCGGTTTGCTGGCACACTTTCTCACAACCCACAATGCTCTGTGGTCATCCAAGTGCTTGCACACACCATAATACCCTCTTTTGCTCTCTTTTCACTTCCACGACACTGAGGTCCCCGCCACAGCAGGGATGCGGGCACCGTCTCTCCCAAAATGGCTGCAGTCGAACGTGTGACAAACTATGTGGGTTTCCCGAACACACACGCAAGCATTTCAGGCTGCAGTCGAACGTGTGACAAACTATGTGGGTTTCCCGAACACACACGCAAGGACTTGTCGTCCAAAGGTCGCGCCAATCTGGGACACTCTTCTAGGACACTCTTGTGGGACACTCCTCCTCCAAAAGTCACGCTGCGAGGCTGCAAGACGAGCGTTTCGTACGAGACTTCCTCCAAAAGTCACGCGTCAAGTCTCAAAAACGAGCGTTTCGTACGAGACTTCCTCCAAAAATTGCACGTCACGTCTCCAAAACGAGCGTTTCGTGCGAGACCGCTCACACGCCAATCCCAATGTGACAGCCACATTCACCTCTACCATAACTCACGACCTCACGATTCCCTGCGCCTGCCACAAATCTTTCCGCATCCACACGTCTAACGCGCACAAAGTACTGCGCCTG